TGCTTAATGTTTAGCTTTGCATAGCTTTGAGACTGAAATTTAAATATTTTGATTCTGGGTCAGAACTCTTTTCAATAAACCTTAATCTAATCTTTTTTTAGTTTTCTATTGAGATTACAAAATTTAACTCATGTGTTAGTCACTTATATCTTTACTTAGAGCTGTGATATTTCCGCTCTTCATTGAATGTATTCACCTAACATGCACATCATGCAGATCTTCTCTGACATATGTACAGTTCCTGAAATATTATGTCACATTCAGATGACTGCCTTTGTCAAGGACTTATTGCCCACCGGCCCTAGAAATGGACTCGAGCTGACTTAATGCCTAAGGCCAATGGTCCTTCTTTTAAGCTTCTCCCTTGAGAACTACAATTCTAGCTCCATTGTTTCGCTTCAATTTCCCTTAGATTTCAGATAAATCTACATCTCTTGTCTCCCAGAGATGCTGAGATGTGCCTGAAAATCCTAATAGGCACAAACCTGGAGGAAGGATGATTCTAAAAATCAGGCAGTTCATTACTTGCTGTGAAGATGTCTGCGCCTTCATGTAGGCTTTGTTCACTGATTCCTGAGTCTATTTGTGTGACTACAAATGCTTTGCAGTTGGAAATGGTGGATAAATATCTGAGTAAAAAATGTAAATTTAAAATAGCAAGAAGCAGCTATTTTTTTCATAGAACTCATAGCCTCTTCTGTTTTGCTTTTTAGAAAGGGAAAACTATTCCATTAGAAGACTCAATGTACCTATAAAAACAGAACTTCCTATCAGATTCTGAATAGCTGACATTCCACAGGAAATATGTACAAGTACCACACTGCCAAAACCATCATCAAAAGGACAAACACAGACAGTGTTCCTTCTTTAGGAATTCAAGTAATTATTTTATCTTGAAACTGATTGGTTAAGTGACTTCCAGTTTTCCATTATGAGTATTTCATTGATATCTTTAAGATCATACTTTTCTTAACTATGCTTATAGTGTGCATTTTTCTAAATCTTAGTTTTCCCCTTCATAGAACACCACCACAAAAATAAGATAATTTAGAACAAGTATCCATTTATATCTGTCACGATCTTTTTTAGTCATTGAAAATCTACACTTTTAACCACTGTTTTCCAATTATCTGGAAAACTGGGTGCTTTATCGGATTGCATTTTTCACTAGTTTATTAATCTTCTTTACTGGCAAACCATTTTGATGAAAACTGCTGATAACTCCCCTCTTAAACACTGAAGAATAATTGTATACTCTTCAATCTAGAAGCAAAGGTTCAATTGCTTAACACACCTTTGTTATGGTCCAAATGTAAACTTTCACCTTCAGAAGTCTCTACACTTGGTTTCGGATATATTAATAACACAAGTATCATTGCTACAGATACGATCTACTGTAATTGAAAATCTTATTTTGTTTTCACTGAACTGCTTTATTTATTTTGCACCAATCATTAAATATTAAACTTTTTAAATGGTGCATGAAAAAATAAACTTTATTCTAAACTCTGTGATTCTTATCATGTTCTCCATTTAGTCTAGCTCAAGACAATTGAGAATCAATAAATATAGGAAGAGTTCTCTACCCTCCCCTTATCTGCCTAAAAGCAAGGTATAAACTTCCCTTTGAGGAAGGTGTTCACTCCGTGTACCAGGGAGAATGATACTTATCAACTAGACAAGGAGTTGACAACCTGAGCCTAACTACTTCTTTTAGTTTCATACTTTTCTATAAACTCTTGTGCATGTAAATATTAATAAAAGTTGTGTGCCTTCTTTCCTGTTAATCTGTCTTTTGTTCGTTTAATTTACATGACTTCATGCATTAAACATAAGAGGGTAGAGGGAAAGTTTTCCTCTCTGATAGAGCTATGATCAAACCTCATTCTAACTGATGGCATGCTTAGGTAATGAACACTATCAAAAAGTGCTTTCATTCCACTGTTCATCATAGTATGAGGGACATATCCCAGTTTATTAATACCATACCCTTGATTTATATAGCAAAGGGGATCTGACAAATTAAATCTATCAAAAAGTCAGTCGGTCTGGAAAAAAAAAAAAGAGTAGGTGCATTTCTCTCACTAAATAATAGGGAAAAATATTCCCTGTGCTCTCAACCCTACCCAGCAGCAGCAAGGAGGCACTCCTTTGAGGTGACAATGTAGGCTGAACAGCAAATCTGGACTCCTAGCCCCACCTATCAGTAATAAGATGGCAACTCCTTACCCCTGCTAGTGTTGTATCAGAGGAGTCCTGATAAAGATTTAAATTAAATTCACAGTCTCATAATATAATATCTAAAATATCCAGGATACAAAATCATTCATACATATCAGGAAAATCTCAATATAAATGAGGAAAAGACCAATGCTATTGGAATTATCTGACAAAGATGTTTAATCTGCCATAATAAAAATGTTTCAGTGAGCAATTATGAACAGACTTAAATAAAGAAAATAGTCTCAGCAAAGACAGAACTTACAGAAGAATCAAAAGTCTATAGTAGAACTGAAAATAATAACTGAAATGAAATCCCAGTGGCTGTGTTTAACAGCAAAATGAAAAAAAGAGGAGAAAAGGATCTGTGAACTTGAACAGAGAACAATATGAATTACTCAATCTGAACAAAAGAAATTTAAAAAAAAATTAACAGCACTCCAGGGACTTACAGGACCATAACACAGGCTCAGCTAACACTCACAACATCAGAGTCTCAGGAAAGGAGAGAGAAGTCAAGGCTGGAAAAGTATTCAAAGAAACAATGTTTAGAGTACTTCTAAGTTTGGCAGAAGATATAAACCTGTATGTTCAAGAAGACATACACCTATATATATATTCAAGAGGTTAAGTGAACACCAAGTAAGTTAAACTCCAAGCCAAGGCATAGCATAATAAAACTTCTAAAACCTACAAAGGAAAGATCTTTAAAGCAACCAGAGAGAAATAACACCTTACTTTTAGGGTAAAAACAATTAGAATGACAGAAGATTTCTCATCAAAACCAAAGAATCCAGAAAGAATTGGCACAGCTTGAAAGAAAGTTAACTGTCAACCTAGAATTCTTTATCTGGCAAAAATATCCCTTGGAAATGAAGGGGAAAATCAAGACATTCTCAGAAAAGGAGAACTACTATAAATGAATGACTAAACAGAGTTCTTAAAGAAGAAGGGAAATTATAAAAGAAGGAATCAGGAAGGAATAAAGAACAATGGAAAAAGTAAAAATAATGAGCTCTGAGAAAGGACTGAATAGAAAGGACTAGTGTGACATGGAGTGGTGCCAAATTACAGCCATTTGAACAAGCCATGGATGGACTGTAATTGTGGAGAGCAGCCTGTGCAGTAGGACTGTGCATAACCTGAGCACTTATCTCTACTCTTGAGCACATACCTGGATCACCAATACAGCACACATGCTTGGCTTCCTACCCAAAACACAAATCTCCCCCTTTTTTTTTTTGATAAGGGAAATCATGATTTAGTTCTTATGAGAATTCATATGATGATTCAAGGGCTTCTAGTTCCCTCCTCAGAACTACAGATTGAGTTTATGATTGGTCAAAGCCAATTGTTGTAGTTCCATTCCCTTAACCAATAGTTGGTTCAGACATGGGCATGAGAAGAAATTCTAAACAAGAATTCACTAATAGATACCTTCTGAGGGACTCCTGAGAAAGGTTTTCCCTACAGATAAAAACAAATGCAACAGACTTAATCCATCCTTTTCCCGCCTATCTTTGGAAGTCACTGTGGTACTTGAAAAGGAGGCAGCCAAGCAGAGACCATAAGGGGAGACTGAGCAGGAAGACAAGCCCACATACTACAGAGAACAGACAGAAAGGTGGGAAGAACTTGATTTCTTAATGACATCATTGAAGGGATGGATTAACTAAAGCTGCATTAAGCTACCTTTAGACCCATATTTTATGAAATAATTTTTTCTTATCTATTTCCCAAATATCATGTTAAAATGCTAGAGTAGTCCATTACATGAATTTACTGTAATTATGCAACTGTTTCTCTGGGATTGGATTCCTAAGTTGGTTTTCTTTCTTTTCTTTTTTTCCCACTATACAGGATGATGCAAGGAACATCTTTCAGCATGAAGCTTTATGGTGTACTTTCCATGCACTTTGTTCTTAGAAGTAAAATAACCACCAAGTGATATGGACATTTCTGGTCAGTAGTATCAAACTGGTTTTCAGAAAGTGTGTTCTTATTAAATCTCCCACCCACCATGTGTGTGGCCTGTCTCACTATATCCTATCCAACTAGATCAGACACCATGGATTGCTCCCCAAGAGTCATTATTGTCCCTTCATTCTTATTCATAGAACTTTGATTTATAAATCTTGATGAGTCTGAATCAATCTAGGTAATCACATTCTTCCTGCCAGTGATGTTTAGTGGGTGGGTATATGATCCAATGCTGGCCAATGAGAAGAAATGGGAGGTTTACTGGGTAAATTTTTCATTCTGAAAAGAACAAGAGACAATGTTTCCCACTGCACACCAACATATACAATAACTTGAAGCAGGCCTGTATGAAAAACACAGCTAATGAACTGGACTAAGAGATGAGAGTTTGATGATGCTGAACCCCTGAATTAACCAATGTCAAGGATCCTTCCTTGAATCTTCTTTTTATATAAGATAACATATTACATATACTCAAAAAATTCAATGGAAAATTAGCTTTTGTCAGTCATTTTTATATTCCAAGGTAAAACTGAGAACTACTTATGCTATTACAATGAACAATCCAAAAGGAAACAGACTCATAACTGTTTCACTTATGAAGATTAACAAGTTTTAAATAAACACTGCCATGCAGTCACCTCTTCTCAAAAGTATTAGAGTTGAATATTATTTGAAGAATATTTTTTAAAATTATAAGTTCATTAATTTGAACTATAAGTTAGAAAAAATTATGTTTAATTCAAAATGGTCTTCAAACGATAGCAAAAATAAATGAACACAAAGTATGCTGTACTTACAAATCAAACACCAAGTAATGGAAGCCCTCTTCTGATATGCTGTCATGAAGTCGCACTAAAAAAAGGAAAATGGATAAAGAGAGGTTTCTATTATACATATGCCAATGATCAACACTAAGCCAGACTTCTAAAGGGTATCTGTCTCCTAACTAAAAATGTTAGCAACACTATTTATTTAGCCTCTGATAGGTCAGTGTCCTTTACAACAGGGCTTGGGTTCAGAGAGAGCCAGGGTTTAGGCTCTGGTTCTGATAATTATTAATTATGTGATCTTAGTAAAATTAAATAACTTGTAATGAAAATTATACCTACACTTTATAAAATGATTGAGAAGGTTAAAAGAGACAAGAGTAAAGTAATCCGCATATTGCTGGGTGAATACTAAATAAATGTTAGTGGTTGTTGCATATCTATATGTCCAAAGTCACCAGGTCCCAGAAATTCTTCCACTGAGAGTCTCTTCCTTGCCATTCTCTTTGCTGTGACCCAAGTCCAGGTTTTCACAAACTCATGCCTTGACCACACAGAAAGCAACAAGTAGGATTATTTTAAGAGTCTACAGAATGGTTTCCTTGCCTCTCTGCTCTCCCCTTTTTCCCTAGAAATTTCTATATAGCACTCCCTGGCTATCCTGTCAAAACAGTTTTTATTATGCTACTTTTAAGCTCAAGTACAAAAATCCATTTACCAAATCAACAGCCAAAAACATAGTTTATTTTTTAATAATCTGCTAGTTCCTTAAAACATACTCCAAACTTTCCAATGAGCTAGATGTTAACTAATAACAAGTTGAAACAAATGCTTCTTCCTCTCTTCTGAATTGAAAACACTTACTGTCTAAACCCTACAGTAAACCACACATGTAGAACAAACTTATTGCCTTTTCTATTTATCTTTGCATAAGTCCCCACTTTTCTTCCATCTCACCCCCACAGATGGCAAACTCTTCCTATTTATCCAAATCACTTGGGGTGGCTCGGTCTTCACTGGAAGAAATCAAGGGCAGGAAAAGCAACAAACTGGTAGGACACAACTGCTGTTGAATAGTTATCACAAAAAGGTAATGATTTTTACCACAGCCTGTCCTTAGCAGGCTCCACATGCAGTAATGACCACCACATGGAAAATGTGGTTTCAAAAGAACATTTAGATTGTGACATAAAGTACAATCATCTGTACAGGTAATCTGTAGTACCCCCAAACTCAGACTTAATATAATATCCATTCTTTACAGTTCAATTCCAAACCTTCATATATAATCCTTGGCCCACTACTGAAACCTTTCCCAAATCCTTCTTCAGAAATTCCTAAGGTAGGGAAAGAGAGACTTTTGCTTCATCCATAATCACAGATTATCATTTGTAAAATGTGGATTTTCTCACTTATCATTAAAATGAGGAGGAGGTCCGTAATGTAGGCAACAGGGAGCGTGGCCAGTGCAGTTCAGGCCCAGAGCCCCTATCTGTCTCCCAAGTGCATGAAATGTCAGCACACTGCAGACTCCTTCCTATTTACTTGTTTCTCATGGTGTCACCCTTGAGTTCATGGATACTGCACAGCTTTATTAAGTAACTCTAATATGTGTCCTTTCTTCAGTACATAGAATTTCTTTCTCATCAGTACTTCCAAAAAGGAACCATATTTCATGAGTCTCTGCATCTGTCACAGAAACTTGGCACATAGTAGTTGGTATTTCATTTTTGAGCATTTACTATACCAGGTGCTAGGCATTTGTCCAAGTTTTTGGACAGAAACTTTTACCAAAGCTCATTATACCTATATATGTCTACCACAAAATGATTGACAAACAATTCTCCTGTAACTTTAATTGTGTGAAGGGTATTCTTCAATTTGCCCATATCAGAGATTCCTGATACCTTTATTTAAACATATGCTGCCAAAAAAAATTAAAAGTTTGGCTAAATATGTATCTTCTGTTCACAGGCATTCAGCACAGCAGAGAAAAGCAGGTCATGACTGATAATGCAGTGCCTTTCTTAAATGACAGTATCACAGATACTTCAATGAGCAGCTATAACACCATCTATGTTTAAAAGAGCTCGAATAACATATGTCTATTTAAAGAAATAATTATTCTGTGAAAATAAAATGTATTTCCATGCTATCAAACCTAAATGAATAGTAAAATTCCCAATGGGAACAGGAAGAAATGACTATTACTTCTTTTTTCAACTGTCTCAAGGTAAACGCTTCAAGTAGAGGTGGTATCTCAGGTTTCCAGATCAAAGAGTTGTAGAGCTAAACAAAGGTGAGAATTTCAGGTACAACCAGAGAAGAGATATTAATTCCTGGTTATGTCTGGAATAAAATTTTCTTAGTATGATTACCAGTACCTTACTAATACTTGGAAATAATCACCATTTGGAAGTGAATTATATTTGAACAGGACAAGAGTTGCTCAGATACAAGCCTGATGATCAAACATATGATACTGTTTTTCATCAAAACCAGTGTCACAAATGCACTCAGCCAGCAAAAATAACTTGGCAAGACAAAGGTTAAAAACAAACCATTTGGGCAAGTTTACTCCTTTGCCCTACACAATTCCAAAATAATCTCCAATTTTTCTTCCTAAGCATCTGACCAGGTGAGTTCAATTCTAAATGAGTGATGTTATAGACATGGCAGAAAAAGCTAGCATCATCGTTACTTGGGATAAATACATATACATTTACTTCCTTTATTCCTCATGACCCTCTCTACTTCCTTTCACTTTTTTTTTCTTTAATAACGAACTGGAAAAACAAAACTAAATGAAATTATCACAGTTCTCATTTATTAACCAGTCTATGTAATATAGTCTTACAGGGATATTTCACATATTTACAGTCACTTTGAGGATGGGTTTGTTTCCTTCTAAAACTTCTATCTATTATTCTCAGAGTTGATGATATATCTATACAGTCTTGAAGATAGTATCTTACACAGTTACAGACACCATCTCTGTTGCTTTAAGCCTTTTCTGTCCATCATAAGTATCCATCTTCCATTTTAATGGTTTGTCAAGAGTTAAAAATTGTGTTCATTTTCACAAAAATTTACATTAAATATTCTCTATAAATAACTTTCAGTCCATTTTTACACCAAAGGAAATACAGGATGTTCAGTTCACCACAGCTGTCACCCTAAGACTGACTGCATGAGCAGCCTTGAGAGCATTGTGGCTACTGCATGTTGAAACGCACTGCACCATGTTCTTGCCGTAAGCTGCACACGTGGGTAGCATTGTGGCTACTGCATGTTGAAACGCACTGCACCATGTTCTTGCCGTAAGCTGCACACGTGGGTGCTCACAATTAACCTAACTGCAGTCATCCCTAAGATGCTTTTAGAAACAAATGTTAAAGAAGATAATAAGAAGAGCATTTGAGAAAAACAGGTTATAATAGATCTTGGCAGCCATTTTTTTCTGAAGTTTGTTCAAAGGTAAAATCAAGTCTATGCATGAATACATTTTCATGAACTAAAACAGTTCAACAACTCTCATCTAGAATAAAAGTTGAAATTCTAGGGTACAAAGCATGGGATTTATAAGGTGTAAAAAGGTGTTTCTGTGGCTAAAATATTTCCAAAGCTTAGTAGGCCCAAGGTCCAATCCTTTTCCTCTTTCTCCTGCATGTATTATCAATCTGGTAGTTTGCATTCAAATTATCATGGGATCACTACTTTCTCTTTCTGTCCTATGTCCTTGTATAATTTTGCTGCAGTTTCTAGCTAAGTACTAGCTCCAAGAAGGGCCAGTGAGTAGTGATCTAAGATACAAAAGATATAAAATGATAATAGCACTTACTATGTCAAGCACTATTCAAGTAATTTTTACATGAGTTATTTTAGTTAATTTATATAACCACCATAAGGATACTTTCCCATCACCTTTTACAAATAAGTACACAGGTTTATAGAGGTAAAGGGAACTCCCAAAGCATAACTGCTAGTAACTGGCCAGGCTCGGACCATAATCCCCAGCTGGAGGATTCCAAAATTCTGGTTCTTGCTCAGAATACTATATGGACTCTCTAAAATATATTTGTCAACAAACTACTCCTCAGTCACATTGCAGAGTATGAACTGGTTTGTCAGGGTAAAATAGTATTTAAAAGGGGGAAAAATAGCTATAGTGAATAGAGAAAGAAGTGCTACTAAAAACACTACACAAAAAGAACAATATTTTCTAAGTAGAAAGTTTAAAATGTGATGCCATAATTTGGGGACTGTGGAGACACTTACAAAATGTCTAAGATACAGAGCCAACACCAGACACCTCTGTCATTCTATACAGTTCCTAAATCCTTAGAAAATTGTTAATTCTCCTCTTCACTTAAAATTGGGAATGTTAGAAGTTCCAGTGACTCTGCTATTTTACCTGATATGACATTTAATGTACTAAACAAATCTTAGTTAGTTTAATAATCTGGAAAACTTACATGACATGTAAAATATCACAAATTTATTTTCATTTTCAAAATTAACATTCCATGTCATGGATATTCTGATTGCATGGAAGAGAGAAAGGTATGTGTGCACTGTATTGGGAAGTGGAAGTGGTGTGCAAGGAAGAAGAGGGACAGAGTAAGAGAATTAAACTCTAGAAGCCATGTCGAAATTGCTCATTAGGTACATCTTACATATTTTAATGATACATATTTGCAATATTTATGTCAAAAGTAAGTGAACATATTCTTTTATGTTGATATTATCTTTCAAAAAAGACTAATAGAATACACAGTCATTTGTTTCAATTTCAGCATACTTCCTTCCCCCTCCATTTCCCAAAGGCATCCTCCAAATAAAATCATGGTTTGCAATTACAATTTTGTGAAATTATTTATACAACATATTATTTCACTCATTCTATACTTCTTACTATTCCATTCAACCAAACTCACTTCCAATTGTTCCCTACTAGAATTTATTATGGGGATGTGATAACTGGCAAGTTACTACATCAGTGGTCCCCAGTGGAACATGTCAGTCAATATTTATGTCCTGTGCAGTCTCCTCCGACACTGACTCTGGACCTGGCCATGTGATTTG